TCCAGCAACTACAACTCCCAAATGACAAAATCATCCGCCTCCATCCCACCAGTATTCAAATTTGGGCATATAGGTTGAGAAACACTGGAATAGAGTGAAGACCACCCTTCGTAAACAGGTCCATGTTGCATCGGGACGAATATTCAAGCCCTGATTAGCAGAGCGGAGAGTCTTCCTTGAAGAGGCCTAACGAGAGCGAGGGAGCTGCCTGGAGTCAACGAGCCTCCGTTCCTGATCTCCGCCGACAAGGCAAATCTACCCTTTTCCTTGTGTAATTTTCAGTTAGAAGGGACTTAAGCCTCTTAAAACCGCCAGAGTGGCAGCTCACTAGGCCTCAAGCGCATAATGCGCCACTGTAATGCCGCACTTCTCTCTCTCTCCCTTATAGATACAGAAGGCTGTATGCAAATCGTCTCTCACTAATGCCAGTCCCGTAATCTCTCGCCATTTCAGGGGGAAAATCCCGTAATCTTTCGCCATTTCAGGCAACGCTAACCTTGCGGTGCTGGCGAAACATTTCCTTCCTTTCGCCATGCACGCACACTTAGGTCAAGGCTTTCGTGACCCCACGAAACATGCACAAACCACCCAACTTTGTGTCTCAAAACGCTCCGAAGGCGAAAGCGTAACACAAGAGGGGCACGTCCGTTCAACACAATATTCCAAAAGTTGTTGATGATGATAATAATAATAATGAGGATATGAATAATGAGTATATAGTGCTTGTAGTAAGAATACTACTACTACTACTACTACTACTACTACTAATAATAATAATAATAATAATAATATGATGATGATGATGATGGTGATCATCATATTAGTCAAAAAGATAATATAATTCAAAAAGAATTCAATAAGATAATATAACAACAACGACAACGATGACGACAACAGGGAGTTGGGAATGTGTGGGACGGGTGGGTGGAGAGACACCCTATAAGCTTCTTTTTCCCCTCCCCTCCTCAAAATAATTCTAAAAGATAATTACGACGTGGAGCTATCCTACCCTGGGCTTCCTTAAAAAAGTCCTCTTTTTTCTCTTTTTGTATTATTATTCATGGTAGTAATTGCAGCAAACAAAAAGAAAAACCTCATTCTTAGAAAACAACTACTGCCTATTTACCTCTCCTCTAGAATAGAAACAACTTTAAGGAAACATTAAACCCATAGCAGAAAGGTATGAGGGGGGAAAGGGCACCAAATCAAGAGAAAAGAGAGGGCTTTTTTAAGGAAGCCCAGGGAGATAGCGCCAGGTCAATCACTCTTTCTTCCCTGGGAAGTGGGAAGCCTCCTTAAATGCCTTTGAAAGCTGTGTGCAGGGAGAGAGCACACACTTGCAGTGCCTGTCTCCTCTAGAGTAGAAACAGCTGTAACGAAACACTAAACCCAGTCTCCTCTACAGATAGAAGGGAAACAATTGCAGAAAGAGTGGTGTCTTAACTCTGATGCTTTTAATCTAGGTCTTAATGAAGGATATAAGAACAAACAATGCCTAAAACGATGAGAAGGAGAGCCTAGAAAGTCCCACCCCCCTATAGGGTGCTTCCTTAACCCCACTGCTGAAACCCAGGCTCCCTTGAAGAGAAGGAAAGGGTCCCAGGAAGGCCAATTGGTCAGATCTAGCCGTATTTTTTGGCAAAACACCAAAAACGGCTATCCGGATTCCCGTTCGTTTTCGGGAGCGAGCAAAAACAGATACAGGAGGTCTACTGGAATCTGGCCAGCAGAAATCGATCAAGATTCAGCACAAGCTTAAGTGGTGCCTCGAAGGGTCCGGGCCCATGCCTCACCTCTCCTCCTTGGAGCTCAATGCTGGGGTTGCAGTTCGTGAAGTCCTCCCAGAGCAGCAGCGTGTCCTCGTTCTCCTCCCACGTCAGGCTGTCGCAGTCGTCATCGAAGTCAAAGGTCTCCCGCCTGGAGGAAAAATAGGCAATTGCGTTAGCCCGGAGGGGGACGGACCCTACGTTCACCCATTTACTAGAGGTGTGCATTTTTCGTTTTCCTCGTAATTCGGATCAAACTCGTCAAATTTTGTACTTACGAGGTGATACCCGACACGCGAGCACGGCCCGCACCAAAAATTTAAGAATCGAAACTGACTCCAAACTGACCCCCAGTTTTGTAATGACTTATGGATCATTTTTTTAATGGATCACACGGCCCTAACGTTTACATTTCAACCGAAGGTTCCGCCACTTCCCTCCAGGTGGCGCTGTGCGTTAAGCCAAAGAGGAAGAAGAAAAGGACAGAATGGAGAACGAGAGAAGGAAGGAAGGAAAGGTGGGGGGAAAAGTGGCCCTCCTGAAATAGCCACATGAAATATGACAGGTATGGGCAAATCAAGGTCCGGGGGCCAGATGCAGCCCCTTGGGCACTCCTCTCCCACACATTCCTATCCTTTCTTTCTTCCCTTCCTCTTTCTCCCTCCTTCCTTCCCTTCCACCCTTTTGTCCTTCCTTCCCTTCCCTTCCACCCTTTCATTCTTCCCTCCCTTTTGTCTTTCCTTCCTTCTCTCTTTCCTTCCTCCATACCTCCCTCTTTCTCTTTCCATCCTTCACTTCTTCTTTTTCGTCCTTTGTTCCTTGCCTCTTTCCTCCCTCCTTCCCTTCCCTTTTGTCCTCCCTTTTTCTCTTTCCATCCTTCACTTCTTCTTTTTCGTCCTTTGTTCCTTGCCTCTTTCCTCCCTCCTTCCCTTCCCTTTTGTCTTTCCTTTCTTCTCTCTTTCCTCCATACCTCCCTCTTTCTCTTTCCATCCTTCACTTCTTCTTTTTCGTCCTTTGTTCCTTGCCTCTTTCCTCCCTCCTTCCCTTCCCTTTTGTCTTTCCTTTCTTCTCTCTTTCCTTCCTCCATACCTCCCTCTTTCTCTTTCCATCCTTCACTTCTTCTTTTTCGTCCTTTGTTCCTTGCCTCTTTCCTCCCTCCTTCCCTTCCCTTTTGTCTTTCCTTCCTTCTCTCTTTCCTCCCTCCCTCCATTCCCTTCCATCCCTTCTTCCTTCTCTTCCACCCTTTCATCCTTCCTCCCTTTCCTTTTTCATCCTTCTCCTTTCCCTTCCTCTCCTCCTTTTCTCCTTCCTTCCTTCCTTCCTTCCTTCCTTCCCTTTTCCTTCCTTTTCTCCTCCTCTTCCCTTCCCTTTTGTCTTTCATTCCTTCTCTTTCTCCCTCCTTCCATTCCCTTCCACCCTTTCGTCCTTCTTCCTTCCTTTCCTTCTCTTCCCTCCTTTGTCTTTGCTTCCTTCTCTCTTTCCTTCCTCCATCCTCCCTCTTTCTCTTTCCCTCCTTCCCTTCCTCCTTTTCTCTTTTCCTTCCTCTTCTCCTTCCCTTCCCTTCTTTCTTTCCTTTCCTTCTCCTCCTTCCTTCCTTCTCTTTCCTTTCTTCCTTCTTCCTTCCTTCCTTCTCTTCCTTCTCTTCCTTCCTTCCTTCCTTTTCCACCCTTTTTTCCTCCTTTCTTTCTTTTCTCTCTTCTTCCTCTCCCTTTCTCTTTCCATCCTTCACTTCCTTTTCGTCCTTTGTTCCTCGCCTCTTTCCTCCCTCCTTCCCTTCCCTTCCTTTTGTCTTTCTTCCTTCTCTCTTTCCTCCCTCATCCTACCCTTCCACCCTTTCGTCCTGCCTTCCTTCTCGCTTTCCTTAATCCTTTCCACCCTTCCCTCCCTTGTCTTTCCTTCCTTTCTCTCTTTCCATCCTTCACTTCCACCTTTTCGTCCTTTGTTCCTTGCCTCTTTCCTCCCTCCTTCTCTTTTATCTTTCCTTTCTTCTCTCTTTCCTCCCTCCCTCCATTCCTTTCCACCCTTTCGTCCCGCCTTCCTACTTACTTCCCTTCCTCCTTCCCATCCTTCCCTTCCACCCTTCTGTCTTTGCTTCTTTCTCTCTGTCCCTCCTTCCCTCCCTCCCCTCCCCTCCCTCTTTATCCTTCCATCCTTCCCTTCCTCCTTTTTGTCCTTCCTTCTTCTTCCTTCCTTTTCTTCTGTCTTTCCGTCCTTCTCTCTTTCCTTTTTCCTTCCTCCTTCTCTTTTTTCTCCTCCTTCCCTTCTTTCCTTTTTTTCTTTCCTTTTCTTCTTCCCTTCCTCCCTCTCTCACTTCTCTCCTTCTTTCCTTTCTCCTTCCCCTTTTCCTTCCTCCACCTTCCTTCCTTCCCTTTGTCTTTCCTTCCTTCTCTCTTTCCTTCCTCTCCTCCTCTCTCTTTCCATCCTTCACTTCTTCTTTTCATCCTTTGTTCCTTGCCTCTTTCCACCCCCTTCCCTTCCCTTCCCTTCCCTCTTTCCTCCCTCCCTCCATTCCCTTCCACCCTTTCGTCCTGCCTTCCTTCGCACTTTCCTTCCTCCTTCCCATCCTTCCCTTCCCTCTCTTTGTCTTTTTCCTTCTCTTTTCTTCCCTCCTCCTCCTCCTCCTTCTCCTTTCTCCTTCTCTTTCCTCCTTCTTCTCCTTATCCTTCTCCTTCTCTTCCTCCTCTCTCTTCCTTCTTCTTCTTTCCTTTCCTTCCTTCATTCTTTCTCTTTCTTTCTTTCCTTCCTCTTCTTCTCCTTCCTCCCTTTTCTCTTTCCTTCCTTTATCCTTTCTCTCTCTCTTTCTTTCCTCCTTCCTTCCTTCCTCTTTCCCTTCCTTCATTCCTTCCTCCTTCCTTCTTTCTTCTTTTCTCTTTCCTTCCTTCCTTCCTTCCTTCCTTCCTTCCTCTTTATCCTTCCTTCCTTCCTTTCCCCTTCCTCTTTCTCCTTCCATCCTTCCTCTTCTTCCTTTTTCCTTCCCTTCCTTTTTCTCTTTCTCTCTTTCCCTTCTTCTCCTTTTTTCCTTTTCTTTCCTCCCTCCTTCCCTTCCCCCTCTTTTTCGTTCTTTCTTTCTCTCTTTCCTTCCTTCCTTCCGTCACCAGGAAGGTCCTCCTAGCAGGGAGTGCTAGCGTGTGGCCCCCAAGTTAGAAAGTTTGCCCAGGCCTGAAATATCGCTATATTATATATATATATATATATATATATACACACAGATAGATAGATAGATAGATAGATAGAGAGAGAGTAATATATGATATATAATATTAATAATTATTTATGATATTTAATATTAATATATTTATTAAATATATTATATATATAAATATTATATATGTAATATATATTAATTATTATTTATGATATTTAACATAATATTATAATAATATATATTAGTTATTATATTATAAAATTATAATATTATTATATGTATATAATATTAAATATTTATAATATATATATAATATATATAGAGAGAAATATATAATATATTGATATATAATATTAATAATATTTTATATATTTAATATTAATATATTTATTATAAATATATTATATTATAAATATTATATATTAATATATATTAATAATATTATATATTTAAATAATATATTTATAATAATATATTATATATATTTAATATATAATATATATTAAATATAATATATTTATAAATATATATATATATTAATTAATATATAATAATTAATATTATTTAATTAATAATATATAATATATAATATAATATAATATTAATAATTATTTATATATAATATTAATATATTTATAATAATATATATTATATTATATATATAACAAATATATTAGGTTCTTGTGGGTTTTTTCGGGCTATAGAGCCATGTTCTAGAGGCATTTCTCTGGATGCTTGCCACAGATGCAGGCGAAACGTCAGGAGAAATGCCTCTAGAACATGGCTCTATAGCCCAAAAAACCCACAAGAACCTAGTGATTCCAGCCATGAAAGCCTTCGACAATACAACAAATATATTAATATTATATATATGGTATTTTATATATATATAATATTAATAATTACAATAATGTTGTAATATAATATATTAAACGTTTTATATTATTATTATTGTTCTGACTGCCGTGACTTGAGGCCCAGACTCACAACGGAAGGCATTCTTGCCCCCTGAGCTCATTTCCTTCCCTGCAGACGGGGCAGGAAGTCGGGGTCAATGCTCGATACGGCTTGACCGCGCAATGAATAGGGCCGAGACTTGGCCGGACGCCCCACGGAGGCAGCAGCAGCAGCGTCGGAGCGCACAGGAAGCCTGGCTAACGTTGCACAGCCATGCTGTATCTCTGCAGCAAGTGGGAAGGATGCATGACACATCGGTGGCTCACTCCCAATGCAAGCTGATGACATCACTGACTATGATGTACTCAGCATTCCTCTGGCTCTCTCTCTGGAAGGTGGTCTTGCCTGCATAAGGAGCAGCTTCCTGGACTTCACTATTATTATTATTATTAATAATAATAATACCCCACTGCTTCACCAGGGGAAGAATATAGAACTTAGTGGTATAGTACAATACAGGGTTAGTCAAAATGAATAGGCCAATAAGAAAATTAATTTTAGACGAATGTATGTTTATTGTAACCAAACTACAGCTACGTAGCGACAGATAAACTATCAAAGTTTTGTCTCACCTTCAGAGATGTTCGATATGGGCGCCCCGTGTGACACGGCAGATGTCCAAGCGATAGTCCAGTTCATTCCACATCCGTTGCAGCACATCCGATGTAATGGCATCGAATGCAGCAACGTCTGGGAAGGTGTTCGTTGAGGTCCTAACCCTAACCCTAACCCTAACCCTAACCCTAACCCTAACCCTAACCCTAACCCTAACCCTATCCCTAACCCTAACCCTAACCCTAACCCTAACCCTAACCCTAACCCTAACCCTAACCCTAACCCTAACCCTAACCCTAACCCTAACCCTAACCCTAACCCTAACCCTATCCCTAACCCTAACCCTAACCCTAACCCTTGAAATTCTCGCTGGACCGTAATTACTGACATTGTTTTAGCAAATGTCATCACACAAAACGCCTTCTCTTTGCTTGATTCCGCCATTTTGAAAACAGCGACCCCTAGCGACGCCTAGCGGCATTAACGTACATGTGTGTTGCTCAAAAAAAACTTTGATAGTTTATCTGTCGCTACGTAGCTGTGGTTTGGTTACAGTAAACATACATTCGTCTAAAATTAATTTTCTTATTGGCCTATTCATTTTGACTAACCCTGTAAATCATGTATAATACTAATATTGTGCTATGCTAATAACATATTGTATCTACATACAATATTAATAATAATATAAGAAAATTATATATATTAATATACCTATGGTCTTATTTCATAATATATTACATTATTAATAGTATATATTATATATTATTATTATATTACAATATCTATGGGATTATTTCATAATAGATTCATTATTAATATTATATTATAATTATTATTATATATTACTATACCTATGGTCTTATTTCATAATATATTACATTATTAATAGAATATATTATATATTATTATTATATTACAATACCTATGGCCTAAAGCCCGACTGCTCATTGGGGGGAAGGAGACTAGAGACAAAGTTGAAGTACTTTGGCCACATCATGAGGAGACAGCAAAGCCTAGAGAAGACAATTATGTTGGGGAAGGTGGAAGGTAAAAGGAAGAGGGGCCGACCAAGGGCAAGATGGATGGATGGCATCCTTGAAGTGACTGGACTGACCTTGAAGGAGCTGGGGGTGGTGACGGCCGACAGGGAGCTTTGGCGTGGGCTGGTCCATGAGGTCACGAAGAGTCGGAGACGACTGAACGAACGAACAACAATGGCCTTATTTCATAATACATTATATTCATTATTAATATTATAATTATATATTACTATACCTATGGTCTTATTTCATAATATATTTTATTACACTATTAATATTATATTTTATATTTTATTTATATATATATATATGTATTACTATACCTATGGTCTTATTTCATAATATATTACATTACATTATTAATAGTATATATTATATATTATTGTTATTATATTATGGTATTATTTCATAACATATATTACATTATTAATATTATATATTATATTGTTATTAGATATTATTATACATATGGTCTTATTTCATAATATATTTTATTACACTATTAATATTATATATTTTATATTAATTTTATATTACAATACCTATGGTCTTATTTCATAATATATTATATTACATTAATAATAGTATATATTATATATTATTATACCTATGGTATTGTTTCACAATATATTATAATTATTATATTATAATATTATTATTAGTTATTATATACTTATGGTCTTATTTCATAATATATTATATTACAACACTAGCCGTCCTCTGCCACGCACTACTGTGGCCTGGTCTGTGTATATGTGCTTTGTGTGTGTATATGTGTGTGTATATATATTTGTGTATGTATGTGTGTTTGCGTATATATATATGTGTGTGTGTGTATGTGGGGTTTGCAAATGCGTAATAATGAATTTTTTATTTTTTGGTTTCTTAAGTGTGTGTGTGTATGTGTGTATATATATATATATATGGGGGGCTGCGCATGCGTCGTAATGTATTTTTTCTTTTTTGGTATTTTAAGTCTCTTTCGCTGTGTTTTTATGAGTGATGGTCATTATTGTGAGGTGTTATTGTGTCCAAATTTGTGTGCTTAAGTCCAATATGTATGTAGTTTTAACTATACCTCCAGCCATATACATATACATTAGGCTTGTTTGATCGTGTTCGTTAGTTTCTAAAGTCGTTATTAATTCGTATTTAAATTAGCTTACGATCCAATATCGAGCCATGCAGGAATAGTGTGAAGAGTAATTAAGAATCGAAACAATTTTTCCAAATTTTCGTAATTATTTCGTAATTATTAAGACGGGAAAGAAGGAGAGAAAAGGTGCCAGCGTTGCCTTTCCTCCTCCTCCTCCTCCTCCTGGAGATATTTTATTATCTTATTACTTATTTTATTATTTTATTATTTATTTTATTATTTTATTATTTTATTAATTTTAAGTGATTTTAATTTGTATTTTTACTAACTTAATGTATTTTAATTTCATCCTGAATTTCAGAAGTTCCCCCTGTCCCGTTTGGAGGTGTTTTAGCGCATTGCGCAATCGCGTCTGCCATTAACGAATCGATTCGTAATTAACGAAATTTCGTAAATTTCGAAATTTTGAAATCTTAAATTTCGGAAGTCCTCAGAAATTCGAAACGCTGGCGCCCCCTGGAAACAAAGCTAGTTTAGAACCAATTTTTTTCTTGATCAAACAAGCATAATATACATATGTGTATTAGGCTTGGTTGATCAAGAAAAAATTTGGTTCTAAACTCGTTTCGTATCTAGGGGGGCGCCTGCGTTTCTAATCTGAAAGGATTTCCGAAATTTCAGATTTCAAATTTTCGTTATTTACGAAATTTCGTAAATATACGAATCGATTCGTTAATGGCGGACGCGATTGCGCAATACGCGAAAAAAAAACTGAAAAAAAAACTTTCGTAATTATTTTTCGAAAATAATTACGAAAAATGGGGAAATTGTTTCGATTCTTAATTACTCCTCACACTATTCCTGCATGGCTCGATATTGGATCGAAGCTAATTTAAATACGAATTCATAACGAGTTTAGAAACAAACGAACACGATCAACCAAGCCTAATGTGTATGTGTGTGTGTGTGTATTCGCTATGGGTGGCATAGGGAGTGGATTTCCCTTCTGAAGATTGTTTGTAACTTCCGCCCAATGCCAACATCGGGACATTGGACGGAAGCCACGGCCTCTCTCTTGCTTTGATGCCTTTCTTTCAGCTCAATTTGGGCCAAATTTCAACACAAGAGATCCGGGCGCGAGGTCGATGCCGCGGGCCACCCACTCTGCCCGCACGGAAACGGGAACCATCCAAAACAAGCAAATCTAGCGGAGGCGCGTTTGGACTGCGCCCACTCTGCTCGCACGGAAACGAGCAAATTTAGCGGAGGCCCGTTTGGTCTGCGGAGCTTGGCAGCACTCCTGCCCGAGAACCCCATCCCGGTCTCCCGTTCCCCGAAGACTCACAGCTGATTGAACATCCTCTTCATCTCGTCAGTGATGTTGAGCGAGGCGACTTCCTCGTCCGAGAAGCGGGCGTTGTCGGCGGTGGCGTCCCGCTCGGAGAGGTCGTCGTCCGAGAGGAGCTTCCGCTCCTTCTTCTTGGAGGCCACCTTGGGGTCAGAACAAGGGGGGTTTAGGCTGGAAAGGGTTCAAGGGGGGGGGTCCCACCTGGATGTCACAAAGAGGGGGGAGATGGGGGAGCAAACCAGGATTGGCACAAACCAGCAAAAGCAAGCATTGGGCGCTTTGAGGCTGGGAGATGCCGCCGGGACTACAGCCAGCCATGCGAAGGTTGGGAGACACAAGCAGCTAGGGGCAACAAGCTCTTGGCTTTACTGGCTTAGAACCACATGAAATCGTGCCGTCTCCCTGAAACTCTGGGATGAAACTACAAAAGCTAGGGACAACAAGCCAGAGAGGACAGCCACTGATTGGGGTCCCCTTCCGGGCCCAGAGAGGGGGCTCGGTTACGGAGTTCCCCGCTTGAGAAGCCCGGACAAGGTGCGAACAACAACTGGGGAAAGTTACTTGGGGACTCATGGAAATCCAAGGGGAAAAATATCACACGATTGCTAAAGTACCCTCTGACTAATGTCGATGTTCTCAGATTTACTAGCTTAGAGCCACATGAAATCGTGCCGCCTCCCTGAAAGTAAACTGGGGAAAGTTACTTGGAAACTCATGGAAATCCAGGAGGGGAAAAAACAGATGATGCAAAGTGACATCTGACTACTGCTGATGCTCTTGGCTTTACTGGCTTAGAACCACATGAAATCATGCAGTCTCCCTGAAACTCTGGGATGAAACTACAAACGGTAAGACAACTTAGGCCGCCCTGTCCAACCTGCGGCCCTTCCGGTGTTTTGGACTTCGATTCCTCAAATTCCTGGCCATTCAGCAAGCTGGAGCAGGAGACCCAAACACACCAAGGGCCGCAAGTTGGACACCTCGGCCTAAGTTGTCTTACCGTTTGTACTTTCATCCCGGAGTCTCGTTTAGTTTCAGGGAGACGGCACGATTTCATGTGGTTCTACGCCACTGACCTCCTGACCCCTTGAACATCATCCTGGCCTATCGATGGAAGGAGATTTGAGCAGCGGCGGTCTCCTCAAGGTCGGTTACATTTTACCTCGCTATTTCTCCCAAATCAGAGATCTGGAGGATTCGAACCAAGTGGGCCCTGATGATACTCTGGTGACATCACCATCATCATGTTTATTTATATGGGCT